GTTTAGGGTTTAGGGTGGTGCTGGACATAGCGTAGGGGCTTGGGGATTGTATAAGGTCATATGGGCTTTTATAGGTTTATAGATAAGCTAGGATTATGTAGGGATGACATATGTATATATACAAATACGGGGGTCTTTGAACAATAATGGAGAGTCAAACGGAAAAGAACATTGATAATGAGATGGCTATTGGGGACTAGAAAATATTGGAGAATACTACAAAACCATTCTTTTATTCCTCGCCATCCGAAGGCAAGATAAACGCTAAACCCTAGAGAGCCACCGAAGGGAGTTCTCACTGCGATGTGTTCCTTGTGCTTTGGAAGGAGGCTTTGTGTTTCAGGATTTTCTTTGGTGCTTTGTGGCTGTTCGAAAGCAGAAAAGCCTAACATCAGACGGCGGTCTGAATAGGGTTTAGGGCTTGGGGTTTAGGAGTTTCTCTGCTTCAACCTCAGCGTAGACCCTACTAGCTGTTTCAAAGTTCCCCAACCTTGCTAAATCTGCAATCCTAGATCCAAAAACACAGAATCCTAATCCTCAAGCCGGGCCCAAACAAAATCTCCACAGTAAAAGCTACCCGTCCAGTGGGTAGCCTTGGACCTTTGGGCAGTTTGGGTTCCCCATGTAGCCACGCTGGGAGCATCCTGCCGACGAAGGCGTCCTTTTAATCTCTTGGATGCGTTAAGACAATAAATCCGTGCATAACCAAGGCTTACATGCACAATCTCTGCAAAAACAACGGATATTGACCTAAGCTTACTGTTTCTCACTAGGAATAAGGGAATGGACTACATGGGGGGTTAGTTATATAGGGATTACATTCGATCATTCCCTACTAGCCCCCAGTAAGCAAGAGAAAAAGGACCTTTTGGCGCCTCTTGGGCCGAGTTTACCTGGGAAGCGCCTACCTTCAGTTTCGCAGGACCGCACGTTCAGGGTTGTTTAGGTTAGGGTTTAGCGTTTAGGTTGCAGGGTTTAGACTTCAGGGCCTAGGGTTTCGGGCATGGTCTTCAGGATGTAAGGCTTGGGTTTCAAGATTCAGGGTTCGGGGACAGGGTTTGTACTTATAGCTGCGGGACGCAATTACTAAGCCGGCTCCGATGACCACCAGGGGCAGTTCACGTGTTAGTCTGCGCAACTACCCAGAGGTGTTGCAGCAGATGGCCGTTGCATGGTTGTTTACAGGGTGGGGTCGGAATATATTCTGGGGGGATCATCTAGGAATTACCTGGATCTACTCCATAGTCCTTTCCAAACCCTAGACCCTCTCTGGCCTGGGGTCCCTAAACCCTAAACCTTAAACCCTAAACCCTAAACCCAGGCTTTGTGTCCTTCCCTACTCCATTCGCAGGGGGGTTGTCATGTCTAGGCTGCATTCCTACACGGCTCTCAGGGCCCATGTGAAGCAGATTTAAGGAGTTTTAAGGGACTTACCAGAATAGTTTAGGGTTTAGGGTTTAGGGTTACCAGAATATGAGCTAAAGTCCAAACTCCTTAAAGGTGGTTGTATAGGGGACTATTATGGGGGTTGTCAAGGGGGATACTAGGAGTTTAGACTAGAGCTCGTATGGACCCATAGTAAACAACAGGCCTTCCTTGTCGTGGTGACTTACTTTAGATTCTGCAGCCCAGTTTCGGCTCCGTTTTTTGTTTTGAGGTGTGTCCTCCGACCCTTGGACCTAAAGCCTCAGGCCTAAACCCTAGATCTTAGGAGGACCCCCACCCTGTAATAGTGGTATAATAGGAATATGAGAGGACCCTAATATGATCCCTATTATCCCTTATAGTCACTATTACTGGGTGGGGGGTCCACCTATCCTAGATCCTAAACCCTAAACCCTAAACCGCCCATAGGGACGCGGAGAGGCAAGCTCTTTGCATAAACGAGGATGGCTTGAGGTGTCCCTGCGCCAAGTAAGACAACCTGCGGCTGGAATCATGACATAGCATACCCCTAACCCTAAACCCTAAGCCACGAACCACCAAACCCTAAACCCTGAACCCCAAATCCGTAGCACGTGTTTGAGAGGGGTAGCTATAGCGAAGAATTCCCTAAACCTAAAGCCCTACACACGAATCCCCAGAGCTTGGCATGCCAAGACTGTAAAGCTCCGGCTCAGAAACTGAAGCTTGGGATGGGTGTTAGGGTTCAGGATTTAGGGTTTAGGGTACAGTCCCCCTTAAGTAGATAGAATATGGCTTTGGGTATGTTATAATAAGAGCCCCATATAACCCATATTCTATCTACTTAAGGGGGACTATAGGCCTGAATCATGGCAAAAATCCTTCTCAGGTCTCTTTGAGGCACCCTTGACCATAACTATAACCAATTTTGGGGCCATGGTATTGGTAGTAATTTAGGGTCTAGGGTTTTAGGGTCTTAGGGTTTAGGGAGGCTTCTACATTAAATCACCTGAGATCCTGTAACTTCCCGTCGAAAAGTTTAAACTCACTCGCCTGCTAAACCCTAAACCCTAGTCTGTATGAAGCGGACGCCCTGAGGATCGAGGATGCGCGGCGCGTTTTGCAGGACTGATTTGCACACTATGTGAGCTATAGTCTAAACTCAGGGGGTTATATGTATATATATATATGGGGTTATATTGGAGAGTATTACAGGGGTTCATAGCGGAGAGATACTAGGAGTTTAGACTCTAGCTCATGTATTAGTAGGGTTCTGATAGTGACTAATGTGAGTGGCCATGGAGGATACTTATGATTCTCGAAGGACTACATAGGGCAGCATAGGGAGACTCGGATTGTGCGCTGATTTGGGTCTCGTAGAGGGTGCGTGGACCTTCAACGGGGATAGCCATAATTCCTGAATCAGCTCCGTCACAAAAGAAAGCTCAGTTGATTTGTGCCTTTGCCAACTGCGGTTGCAGGTTCAGGGTTAATCCTCTACCCAAAACCCCACCTCACCCAATATTAGATATTCCCCGCTGTGGTATACATTATAGAAATATCGGGAGTATTTAATGTTAGGAGGGTGGGGTGGTTTGATATTATGGGTAGGAGATTAGAAAAGTAGCCAGACGTCTTGCGCGAAGGTAGGAGCAAGGATTCTACCACACCCCCCTCCTACTACGACCCCCTAGGGCCCCTAGGTTCCCTCTTCAGTAATGTAATCTAGCTTAATTATCCACCTTAGCTAGGGGGGAACCTAGGGGGGGTAGTAGAGAGGGGGGTAGTGGGACCCTAAACCCTAACCCCTAAACCCCCTAAACCCCCTAAACCCTAAAATGGACTCTGGGGCTCTTAGGCCTTCGTCTTGAGCTTCTCTGGACATTCAATGCAGCCAAACCTGTGGGAAAGACTAGGTTGCTGTTAAGGAATTGAAAATTAAGGGTACCATAAAGGGGTATATAGGGTTTAGTTTTCTGGGTTTACGTTACCATAATGGGTACATATTTGTATATATATATATACACACAGTAATAAGGTTCCCCAATACGGCAACTTAAATTTGGTTCCTTAAATCTCTATATTACCCAAGTTTCCATTTCATTTTCAATTTTGCATTTGATTCTCCATTAGAGGGGATGATATAGTAAGTTAAAATCAAGTTCCTTAACAGCAACCCAGTAGAGTCACGGCTTCCCTGCCCCCCTCTCAAACCTTGAGGCTTCCTTGCAGATCAGTATTTGGCTCATGTACCCAGGGTAGCCCAAGACCCCCTTAATTAAGGGTATAGGGTTTAGGGTATCACATTAAGAACCCTAGTCCCATTTAAGGTATACTCCTTAATTGACGGCTACTGCGCTCTCTGGGCACGCAAGCCTCATTGACTCCAAACCACTGCTTTGAAATCGAGTATCAGATGTGTAGTATCTTATTTGGGAATACTATGGTACCCATTATAGAGTAAGATTATATCCTCCTTCTGGGGTATAGTATTTTCTATAAGGAATAGAATCTTACTGGGTTCAACCACCNNCCACCAAAAAAGCACTACTCAGATGAGCTTCGGCCTTACAGGCTTGGGGTGCACAGGGCGATGTTCCCATGTCTGAGGTTTCATGCAATCGAGCCCTGCAAAAGAATCCTCACTGTCAATTCACCCAAAGAAGGTCACGTAGAAACCACCCTTAAATCCTAGGTCCTACAACCTTTACACTCCTAAGCTATTCCAATCTTAAACCTTAAACCCCAAAC